ACACTAAAGGTTAATGACTGTCTTTGTGCCCATTGGGCTGGTAAACTGTTCTCCAGAGAATGTTCTTGTCATAAAGAGTCATGTCTGTTACGTATGTCAGGAAGTTTCACAGAATACAAAATAAATACTTAGAAATGTAAATATTGAGGAAACCTAAAAGAGTGATATCCAGGGGTTCTTCATTATTTCCTTCCATTTTGGGGTTTTTAATCTTGGAGTCAAATGTAATCAAGGCTGGTCTTGATTACCTTGACTCCACATCCTCAGTGATCTGAATACTGGATCAGGACACCAGCCTAGCCTGCGTGTGGAGGTGTGTGTTCATGTGTGGACATACGAGTGAAAATGAATTATGTCCACGTGTGAAGGTCACAGTTTATCTCTGTGGTGTCTTCCTCTGTCTCTCCTCATCTTCTCTTTTGAGACAAGGAATCTCACACAACCTGGAGATCAGACTGGCTAGTCTGCGGGCCAGTGAGATTCAGGGATCCACCAGTCTGCATTGGCTTTAACATGGTGGAAGGAATCTGAACTCCAGTATTCACACCTGCACAGAAGACACTTTACTGACCCAGGGCTCTCCCTCTAACCAATTCCTAATTTTGGAAATTCTGAAGCTGCTTCTAAATACGAAGTTTTCAAAAAGAAGTGTATAGGCCAAATAATAAGGCTAATAATATACCACTCAAGAGGTTAAAGCAAGAAGGCTAAAATTCAGTCCACACTAAGTAGCAGCACACTGTGTCTTGAGTGCTAAGAACATGTACATGTATCACCACACCCAGCTTTATACAAGAAGCTTGGAAGTTCTACCTGAAGGTCGGCCAGATGGCTCAGTGAGTGAAGGTGCTTGCTGCCAAACCTGATAATGTGAGTTCAGAACCATAGGCCTACATTGGGGGAAGTGAGGATAGGCTCCTTCATGTTTTCCTCTAGTTTCTTTTTTGTGCATCATAACATGCATATGCACACACAAATAAACAACCATATACTAATATAATGGTAAGACAAAAAGTTACCAAGCTCAGCATGGCAGCTCATAGCTGAAATCCTAACACTTGTCAACATCATTACACTCCTTACACCTTGAAATTCTGATCCTACCATCTAAGTAGAAGAAGGAGGATCAGAACTTTCAGCCCAGCCTTGGCTATACATTTCCAGTAAGAGGCCAGTCTGGGTTTTAGGAGACATGGAGTTAAGTAATAAACAAGTAGATCTAGAACCCAGTGTGGTGTCCTATGGCTCCAATGTGAACCCTTGGACCATAAATTCAAGGCCAGAGTGACTTACTTATCATATTCCAGGTCATTCTGGACTAAATCCAGGTTAAACAAAACAAATAGAATTGGTTGAATAAGGTAGCACACACCTTTAGTCACATCACTCCACTTATGGTAGCTTATGTTTGGGGAGTGAAAGTGGAATATATCTCCCTAAAATTGTTGTTTGTCATGAGGTTTTATCACAGCAGCTGATACACAGTTTCCATAACCCAGTAAAAGACAACATCTGCAGCCTGTTATACTTCAAATGAATTCACTTAAAATTATTAACCATTAGAGGGTGTGTGTTAGAGTTTAGAAGTCAAATGTCCACGGAATAATCCTGTGTTTAAATATTGATTCAACTTTGGAAATCCAACTAGCATTGAACTTCCCTGTTTTTAATTTTGTGGAAAATCTGGGAAATGAAACCTAGGAGGAGGAAGTGGGTCATGGGAGGTATAGAGAAGCTAACTGAGGCCAACATTGGACCTCCTTGGGCCATTCTGTCCCAGAGACCAGACCAGCCTTCATGTCCTTGGGGACATGTGTATGTGTGTGTGTGGTATTTTGAGCAATCATAGAACCTAGGGTGACAGGGTATGGCTTCATCACCCACATGGGTTGTCTTAAGGTTCTTGCAGACAAGTCTTTTCTTGATCATTTTGACCATATCAGGCTACTGCCTCTGGGATCCTGAGCTATGGTGAGAAATCTCACACCTAATGGGCATCATGAACGATGTCATCTTTAACCCCCACAGACGTTAGTTCCAGGGCCTAGGGTGCAAAGGAACACTTTATTTGTTACAACATCTCAATATAATCATCATATAGGATTCAGAAATCTGTCTTTGGAGAAAAAAATGAAAACTTAGAGTGTAGACATTCTGAGTTATTACAACCTTGTCATAGGGTGCTAGGGTCCAAAAGAAAAACAAAACACTATGCACCTACTAACTGGAGACTGTCAGAGTCCATAAACAAGGAAGGGTCAATGTTGTGGGGTCCTTCGTTATTCTTATTATTACTTATTTCATTATAAAAGTGAAACACATCCTGGTTAAGGTTTGGGTGTCAATGTCCCCCGAAAACAAGCATTTGGACACAGTTCACACCAGGTGACATCATTTGAGACAACTTGTGAATCCCAGGGAAGTTGACTTTACAGGAAGAAGTGTCTCACTGGGCACACTGGGGACAGTCATTTGAGTGTAGACAGTCTTATCAGGCTCCTACTGCCTCACTGAGCAGACTAGCCTTCCTGTCCTTGGTGACAGAAGGTAAGAACACCAGTGAGGTGTGCTGAACCGACATTGGTCCATTTCTTGCTGTGACCTCACAATGACAGACTCCTCTGCACTAACAGCTCTGGCTGAGGCTGACTCCAGTCCTTACAGCACAGAAGCTGTTAGCTGGTTGGAGATAATTGAGATTTGGATGCTAGTGAGATACTTGTACTTGGATATTCAATTCAATAATTGAATTGGTGAATCTGAACACAGTGAGTGCCCTGTAGTTCATAGATACCAGGTTTAGAGATTTTGTTTCTCTGAATTTCAACTGACTCTACCTTCCTCCTTCCTTGGTTTGGGGTACAATGTGGGACAATTTTCATGTTAGACTCTTACTCTATTTTAATGTGCCATTTTACCTTGACTCATTCCTTCTTTCCCCATTTAAAAATATCTTTCAGTCTACAATGGATGGTCACTTTGAGAAGGGTTTAGAGACATTGTTTCTCTGAATTTAACTAAATCTACTGTCCTTCTTCCTTGGTTTGGGATACAATGTAGGGCATTTATTATTTTTTATTAGAATAATTTACTTTTTTCTTTTGGTTGTTGGAGACAGAGTTTCTCTGTGTTGTTTTGGAGGATGTCCTGGATTTGCTCTATAAACCAGGCTGGCCTCGAACTCACAGAGATTTGCCTGCCTCTGCCTCCCAAGTGCTGGAATTAAAGGGGTGGGCCACCAGCGCCCAGCTGAACTACTCTATTGTAGCGTGTCATTTTATCTAGACTTATTCATTCTTTCACCATTTAAAAATCAGTTTATGTTAACTATAAAATATTGTCACAGCGCCATTTACATTCATGTACAAAATTTTGGTGCACAGTCCCCTGATCTCACTGCCTCCTGACCACTGCTTCCAAGTCCCTCAGTGATTCCCTTTTTATTCAGCTGCTTTCTGAGTACATGCCATGTCATGTGGACTCCTGTTGAGAGGACTGACAGGCCACAATGGATGGTCTCTTAGGGAAGGGCACCAATGTGTCTGCTTTGGCAGGAAGCCTCCTGCTTGGTGGTTATCTTAGGATCTTCATGGCAGTTCAAGGTCATGATTGGCAAGGGCAGAAGAAATAGTCAGACCTCATTGTTTGGAGTTTATTATTGAACAGGGCAGCTGAAAAGAATTCAAGAACAGAGTAAGCGAAAGTGTAAAGAGAGCAGGCAAACTCTTAGATGCGGAGCAGCAATCAGCTCACCTTCCTATTTGGACTGACACCCAACAAGCAACGTGTCTCTCTGTCTATCCCAAGGGAATGACCCTGAATCTCTAAGAACCCCGTACTCCTCCTGTTTCATCTCCTTGATTCCTGACTTGTCCATACTCCCTATACCTAATTCCTATCAACACTTTGCTGGCTCCACCCTCTGATGCAAGTTTAATTTTATGAACAAAGACTCTAGGTATGCTGGCTTTCCCATTGAGCTCATGTACAAGTTGCATCAACTGACCCTGAAAGACTCTCCTCAGGGTGAGCACCACGATTTGGATCATGTCTGATTGTGGAGTGTGTGTGTGTGTGTGTGTGTGTGTGTGTGTGTGTATGTGTGAAAATATGTGCCTGTGTAATGCAGAGTCGCTGTTGAAATCTTCAATCCTAATATAACAGTAGTAACAAGTGGGGACTCAGGAGCACTAGAGTTTGTCACACAGCAGAACATGTGGCCTTTAAGAAAAGGCTTCATAGACTGACTTCATGCTTTTCCTTGATCATGTGAGAATACACACAAAGTACCAATTAGAGGTAGAGTGCAGTCCTGCTGTACACTCGGGCCCCAGGTACTTGATCTTAACTTGTGAATGTCCATTGATCTTATCTTGTGAATGTCCAGATACACAAGCAACCCATTTCTGTTGTTTTTAAGTGACAAAACTGAGGCATTTTGTTTGAGAGGAAGAGCCTAGGGTGCCAATTGTGGCTCCATCTTTCAAATGTTGTCTTAGGGTTCTGGAACAGAAATATTTTCTTGATGATTTGAATATATCAGTCTACTGACTCTGGGATCACGGACTTTGGTGAGAAGTCTCAGGCCTAATACGGATCATGTGATGAATGATGTCATCTTTAACTCCCACAGATGTTAGTCCAGGCCCTGGGGTTCCATGGAACACAGCATTTTGTCACAACATCCCAGTGTAGTCAGGAGCTGCCTCCTGTGTGTGAATGCTCCTGAGCTATCTCCCCACACAGACACTCTGGGTTTTCAGGTGTCTGTTGCCTTGGCAACTGCTCTTGAATCTGGTTTTAGTAGAGCCTCACTTCTGTGAATGTTGGGTGAAGAAAGAGGATCATGATGCTCCCCCAATGAGTGGCTCTTAGCTTCTGTGACCTTTGTTTTGTTCTCTGAGTTTCCGGACAGTTCCTGCATAACCTATTGGTGTCATATTCTGCAGTCCACTGATGTGGAAGGCACTTACTTCTCTTCCTGAGAGTTAAGTACCGGCTTAGGCTGTCTGCACTGTCTCTGAGTGCCTTCCTTTAGGACATAGGAATGTGTAGCTATGCATATTCTCCTGGGCCTGATTTGAACCTTTTCTTTAAACTTCCCCATTGTGAATTTGTTTCTAGCCATATCAACAAGGACCCGACCATGGAGCAGGGCAGGGAGGCCTACTACTCCTCCGAGGAGTCCTTCATGACGGACTATAAGATGATGATGACCTTGGGCCAGGGACATTTTTCCAAGGTCAAACTGGCCTTCCACGTTCCTACTGTAACCTGTGTGGCTGTCAAAGCTGTTAGAAATAAGAAGAACGCGTCGCTTGTCGAGCGTGAAGTCAACATCATGAAATCTCTCAAACATCCGAATATCATTCAGTTGTTTTACGTGCTCCAATCAAGAGAGACCACCTTCTTGGTGATGGAGTACGCATCAGAGGGAGATCTTCTTCGACACATTCTGGAAGTGGGGTCCTTAGAGGAGAGCGAGGTGCGAAGGCTATTTACCCAGATACTCCTTGCTGTGGAGTACTGCCATAGCAACCATATTGCCCACAGGGACATTAAGGCCGATAACATACTCCTGGACAGCAGAGGTGATGCCAAACTGTGTGATTTTGGCCTTGCTGCCAACGTGACCCCAGGACAGCTGCTGAAGGACTTCTGTGGCACTCTGCTCTACTGTGCCCCAGAACTCTTTGCAGAGGAGGCCTATGATGGGTGTGCCACAGATATGTGGAGTCTAGGTGTGCTCCTCTTCCTCATGGTGGTTGGGCGCTTTCCCTTCCGGGCCAGCTCTCCTAAAGGTGTTAGGCATCAGATCCTTGCCGCAAACTTCAGCATACCTCAGCACGTTTCCATGGATATTTTCAATGTCATCGTAGAACTGCTGATGATCAACCCGGGAAGGAGGCCGACCATTGATCAAATCATGAAGCGCCCCATGATCAGGGACAGGAAGACTGGTTTGCCACCTCCTTCTACACAGAAACCCCCAGGCGCCCTGAGCCCAAGCATTGTCAACACCATGATGGTCATGGGGTATAAATCTGAGGAAATCATGGATTCTCTGAGAGACCAAAACTACAACCAGGTGATGGCCACTTACCTGATTCTCCAACACCAGTCTCCTGGGGGAGACTGCTGCCATCACCAGGTGAAATCCATGCAGCCAGACCTTGTCCTCAACCTGGATGATCTTCACACCTTCCCTGTGCCCCTAAGGCGAGCTAGCGAGCCTGCTCCCCTGACCTTCACCTCGTCATCCAATCCCCAGGAGAGAGCGCATGAGAAGAATGCCAGGCAGTGTGGCACAAGGCATAGCATGCCTGCCACCCTGTGCCGCCACTCAGAGAGGACCCGACCTCCCCACCAGGTCTACTTGAACAGGCATCGTGCTCTTTTCCTCATGTGCAGTAGCGAGGAAATGAGCGAGAATTTCTCTGAGTCGATGATTGGGAAAAGTGGCAGCCTGAGGGCCAGTGTCCACCCATCATCACTCTTAATGTACACTGCTTCTTCTAGTCTAGAGCACAATGAGACCACATGTGACACAGGCAACAGAGCTTCCTGCAGTTACCAAGAGGAATTCTGGAGCTCAGTGGAGACAGTTCAGAGTGTAACTCCCAAAGGCTCCTCCTCCTCTTGGGATACATTGCAGGAAGACACCATGACACAAGAAGAAGCCATTAGTGAGCAAGTGAATATCACACAGGAAGAGGCCATGAATGCGGAAGGTATCATCACACAAGAAACAACCATAACCCAGGAAGTGTCCATCACAGAGGAAGTGACTATAACCCACCAAGAAGCCACCACAAAAGAAGCAACCATAACCCCGGAAGAGGATGACACACCTGATCAGGATGACTCTATCACAGAGGAGAATGCCATCACCCATGGCCAGCCTGAGGTTGCCGGCCCAGCTTCCTCCCAAAGCCGTAGGCGCCACAGGTGGAAGGGGGTCAAGAGAGCAATGGTGAACTGCCTCAGACACCTGTGCTGCTGCCTGGCCCCTGCCAAGAGAAGCCACGACTCCTGTAAGAACCTGGCTCCAAGGAAACAGGATCGTGGAGTCACCCACAGAACCAGGTGGGGACACTTACTTCATTTTACTCATTCTTTGCCTCCTGTTCTTTGTGACAGAGAATGACTGTGCACACTTGTGGCACACTTGTGAACTTAATAACCTGTCCCTTCATAAAGACCAATTCCAGAGGATTCCCTCCAGTGTGACCTCAGGCTTGTTGAGCTAGAATTGGACAGCAGAGATGCTTATCAAAGCCTGCAGCGCAGGAGGAGGGGGCATCGGTAAATCAGGCAGTTGGGTGTTTAGGTGCCGCAGGGCCAGCACAGTAAGTTCTCGGTGTTCCAAAGTCACTAACAGTCTCCTTTCTGTGTCTTTCTGCTTTGTAGCGCTGAAGAGGTCCAGACCCAGCTCCGTGGCTTGTGAGCCACGGGTTGGGGATGGGTCTGGCTGAAATTCGGACAGCACACAGAGGAGCCAGGCCAGATGTCCAAGAATCAGTGTGTCTGCCGCCCACCCGAGTTCAGCTCTCACCAGGTGATTCCCAGGCAGGGAGGGCAGACTTTACATGGGGACTTGTTCAGAAGGCAGGCCTGAGTTACAAAGGGCCCAGGCTGTGTTGTGGAACAATAGTCCCTTCCCCTCTACCCTGCCTGGGTAAACATCAAGACTGTCCTCTGGGTAATGACTGTCCTGTGCCCCCTCTTTCCAGGCAGGGAACATGACCTTCTCCACAGGTTGAGCCTTTTCCTGCCAGGGAGAGTATTCCTAGTGAGCCAGTCCCATCTTCCCCAAGATTGGCTCTCAGGTTGAGAATCTGGCCTGCAGGCAGCCCCATAGAAGGCTCTAGAGTACAACCTGCTGCAGAAAAACTTGCAAAATCCTGCAAAAGTCATCACAGCAAGTTCCATTACCTGAGTCCGCAGACCCCACTTAGAGCAAAGCTTGTGAAATTCTCATCTGGGGCGTGACTCAATGCCATGAGTCCTCTCTTTCCACCACTTCTGCCCTCTAGTTACTCACCAACTGCCTCTCCATGCTTGTTTCTTCAAGGTCGCCATTCACATACAACACCATTTGCCACAGCGTGAGGGAATGATGGGTGTCCTGATCGATGTCGAACCTGAAACCTTCATGAGGGAGCAGCAACCTCCTGCAGGCCCTGCCTACTGCCAGCCACAGTCTGCTCTCTGCCGGGCGATGGTTCCTTCCCTTTGTCTCACTCCTTGCAAGTCCAAGCCTTCCCTCAGCTGGGCTATGGTTGTCTCCATAGGTTGCTTCATTTCTCTGTGTCTTTGCAAGTTGCTTTTTCTTCCACAATAAGCAGCTTTTTGCACACCATTTGGGAGAGCTTCCAGGAAACCATCCCTGTCCACCCAACAGTCACATGGCCATGAACTCATCTTGTGTCCTCTTTCTCCCTAGTCTGTCCCAACATGTCATGGCACGAGCCACAGAGAACTCTCTGTGAGTGCTGTGCATGGTCTGTCTGTCCAGCTTGTCCCTAAAGTGAACCCAGGAAGAGAAGGTTCCTGGAATCATCATCTTGGTGGGATATCATCTGTTCTCCCCAGCATTTCCGTATCGTGTTCCCTGAAGATGAAATATATTTTACAGACGTGTCCTCTGAGCAACACTAAGCTCATAGGAAAGATACTTTTGAACAGAATCTGAGAAGAAAGCAGTGTCTTATTCCTCTCTAAGGTGGAAAGAGCACCCAAAAACACTATGCTTTCCCAACCACCATCTACAACTGTGGGAAAGGAGATTCCCCAGAATACTGTGCTGGCCTTAGAATCTGGACTAGGCTGAGCTGCTCAGACAGAACTGAGGAGGACTTCTCAGGACTCTGTCCAGCCTGGGCAGGAGATCTGACTTGGCATGCTGATCATATTCATACAACTATATTGTTTGCCTGCCCTCCATCCACTGGAATGTGGACCACCTGGTGATTTTTTCACCTCTCTCTCTGTCTCTGTCTCTCTCTCTCTCTCTGTGCCTCTCTCTCTCTCTCTCTCTGTCTCATTTTTCTCTGCCTGTATCTCTGTCTCTGTGTGTCTACTTGTACATGAACAACTTCCATGCAGGTGAGCTGCTCTGTCTTAAACTGGATCTGAAAAGAATCACTACACCCTGAAGAAGGCCATGAAAAGCAAACAGTAATGCAAGCATAAAATTGCCATTGACTGGAGCTGATACATAAAGTATCACTGAGACATGAAACCTTGAATCACCCACCTCAATAATAACATAATCACAGAAGGTGGTCAGGAAATCCATTCTGTCTACAACCCAAGAAGGAAATTGTCTTTCATTCCCTGATAATTGTGTTAAGATGTCACATGAACACTTCCATTTTATTTTCTGACTTTTGATTCTGTCCACATTGTATGGAAGGAAACTCTTTTCCTTTCTTGGTTTTAGTGTTCACACAGAGTCTTGTCCTGTTAAGTAGGAAGAGCTCAGGGTCAGTGTAGGGAGTTCCAGGCTGAGTGTAACCCTTCACAAGGAACATGCACGTTCGGATTATTTAAATTCTGAGATGTGGATCCTGGCGCTGGGAGCTGCGTGAATGCAAAGACTGAAACCAGGCTGTGGCAGCATCCTTGTCTCATCTCAGGCCTGGTGGAGGAGAGAGGCCGGAATGGCAGCTTGCTGCCCTGAGGTCAGTGAGATACCTCATTTGAAAAGTAAGGTGGAAGTCCATGGTCGTGGAGCACCACATAACCCAGGACTGGGAGCAGCCTGATCTCTGTTGTTTCTGGTCTGTAGCCTGGGCTACAGAGAGAGTTCAAGCACAGCCACTTGTGCACAGAGAAACCCTGTCTCAAAAATCAAACTAAAGTATTAGGGTGTGAAAGCACTGGGTCTCTATTCCTGGTCTTAACACGAGCTCAATCAGTGAGAAGAGACAGACAGACACGACCACTCACACATACACCCCTGTGGGCATGGATGTGTCAGGGTAATATACACACATAATCATTATGTACAGTTCTCCAATCCTGCCTTACCTGTTGTTCCTCAATTCTGTCTAGAACCTATATCCATGGTATTTTATTCTCATTTTCAAAATTCAAGACTCGTAAACCCCACAGTGGCAAATGTATCAGTCTTGCCATATAGAATTCCTTTTCCCCCCCACTGTTCTTATTTTTTTGTTTTTGTTTTTATTTATTTTCCAGTTTAAATTTAGATAAAATACAAGGTTGCTTCACAAGTCAGTTCCAGGTCCCTCGCCTTTCCCTCCCCCCCACCCGTGCCATCCCTCCAACCCCCCCCGTTATCCCCTCATTCCCCCAGGGAGGGTGAGGCCCTCCATGGGGGTGTCCATAGTCTGTCATTTCATATAGGGCAGGGCCTAGACCCTTCCCCAAGAGTTCAGGGTGAGAGTGCACCTCACATTGTTCTATGGGAGTCCAAAGTCCGTGTGTATACTTGGGATGGGTACTGATCTGCTGCCCAAGGCTCAATAGATTACCTAGGCCTCCGCACTGACACCCAGATTCAGGGGGTCTTGATCAGTCCCATGCTGGATTCCCAGGCTGATGCCTGGGATTTCAGGGTTAACCTTTGTCTGGTCAGCTGTTTCTGGGGGTTAAACCAGCCCAGTCTTAATCCCTTTGATCATCAGTCCTCCCTCTTTGTTACTGGCTTTCTTGAGTTCAGCTCAGTACTTAACCAAGGGAGTCTGCCTCTTCTTCGATCAGCCACTAAATGAAGTTTCTGTTTCCCAGACTCTCTGGCCATAGGATTGTAGGCTGGCACTCCCCAGATCTATGTCTAAAATCCATATATGAGAGAGTACATGCCATGTTTCTCTTTGTGACTGGGTTACCTCACTCAGGATGGTTTCTTCTAGTGTCATCCATTTGCCTGCGAATCTCATGATTCCATTATTTTTTTCTGCTGAATAGTACTCCATTGTGTAGATGTACCACATTTTCTCTATCCACTCTTCAGTTGAGGGACATCTAGGTTGCTTCCAAGTTCTGGCTATTACAAATAAAGCTGCTATGAACATAGTGGAACAGACATCTTTGTTGTATGAATGGGCATCTTTTGGATATATGCCTAAGAGTGGAGTTGCTGGGTCTTGTGGTAGGTTTATTCCCATTTTTCTGAGGAATCTCCATACTGATTTCCAAAGTGGCTGAACCAGTTGGCACTCCCACCAGCAATGGAGGAATGTACCCCTTTCACATCCTCTCCAGCATAAATTGTCATTGGTGTTTTTGATTTTAGCCATTCTGACAGGAGTGAGATGGTATCTCAGAGTTGTTTTGATTTGCATTTCCCTGATGGCTAAGGATGTTGAGCACTTTCTCAAGTGCCTCTCAGCCATTTTAGACTCCTCTCTTGAGAACTCTCTATTTAGTTCTGCAGCCCACTTTTTTATTGGGTCCTTTGATGTTTTGGAGACTTGCTTCTTGAGTTCTTTGTAAATTTTGGAGATCAACCCTCTGTCAGATGTTGGATTAGTGAATATTTTTTCCCATTCTGTGGGCTGCCGTTTTGTCTTGCTGACTGTGTCCTTTGCCTTACAGAAGCTTCTCAGTTTCAGTAGGTCCCATTTATTAATTGTTGATCTCACTGTCTGTGCTACTGGTATTATGTTCAGGAAGCTGTCTCCTGTACCAATTCGTTCAAGGGTACCACCCACTTTCTCTTCTAAGAGGTTCAGTGTGGCTGGATTTATGTTGAGGTCTTTGATCCATTTGGACTTAAGTTTTGTGCATGGCTATAAACATGGATCGATCCACATTCTTCTACATGCCAGTCTCCAGTTATGCCAGCACCATTTGTTGAAGATGCTTTCTTTATTCCATTGTATATTTTTAGCTTCTTTGTCAAAGATCAGATGTTCGTACGTGTGTGGGTTAATACCCGGGTTTTCAATTCGATTCCATTGGTCTACCTGTCTATTTTTGTGCCAATACCAAGCTGTTTTCAGGACTATAGCTCTATAATAGAGCTTGAGGTCAGGGATGGTGATGCCTCCGGACGTTGCCTTGTTGAAGAGGGTTGTTTTGGCTATCCTGGGTCTTTTGTTTTTCCATACAAAATTGATTATTGTTCTTTCAAGGTCTGTGAAGAATTGTGCTGGGATTTTAATGGGGATTGCATTGAATCTGTAGATTGCTTTTGGCAGGATTGCCAGTTTTACTACATTGATGTTGGCTGTTGGTTTATTGTATATAGCTTTTATTATGTTTAAGTATGTCCCTGTTATCCCAGATCTCTCCAAGACCTTTATCATGAAGGGGTGTTGGATTTTGTCAAAGGCTTTTTCGGCATCTAGTAAGATGATCATGTGATTTTTGTGTTTCAGCTTGTTTATATGGTGGATTACGTTGATGGATTTTCGTATGTTGAACCATCCCTGCATCCCTGGGATGAAACCTACTTGATCGTGGTGAATGATTGTTTTGATGTGTTCTTGGATCTGATTTGCCAGTATTTTATTGAGTATTTTTGCATCAATGTTCATGAGGGATATTGGTCTGAAGTTCTCCTTCTTAGTTGCATCTTGTGTGGCTTGGGGGTCAAGGTTATTGAAGCCTCATAGAAAGAGTTTGGCAAAGATCCTTCTGCTTCTATTGTGTGGAACACTTTGAGAAGAATTGGTATAAGCTGTTCTTTGAATTTCTGGTAGAATTCTGCACTGAGGCCATCTGGACCTGGACTTTTTTTGGTTGGGAGACTTTTGATGACTGCTCCTATTTCCATAGGGGTTATACGTCTATTTAAATTGCTTATCTGTTCTTGATTTAGTTTTGGCAAGTGATAGCTATCCGGGAAGTCATCCATTTCCTTTAAATTTTCGAATTTTGTGGAGTACAGGTTTTCAAAGTATGACCTAATGATTCTCTGGATTTCCTCAGAGTCTGTTGTTATGTCCCCCTTTTCATTTCTGATTTTGTTAATTTGCGTGTTCACTCTCTGCTGTTTGGTAAGTTTGGACAAAGGTTTGTCTATCTTGTTGATTTTCTCAAAGAACCAACTCTTCGTAGCATTGATTCTTTGTATTGTTTTCCTGGTTTCTACTTTATTGATTTCAGCCCTCAATTTGATTATTTCCTGGCTTCTACTCCTCCTGGGGGAGTTTGATTCTTTGTGTTCTAGAGCTTTCAGCTGTGATGTTAATTCTCTGGTATAACTGTTCTCCTATTTCTTCATGTGAGCACTTAGTGCTATGAACTTCCCCCGTAGCACTGCTTTCATGGTGTCCCATAGGTTTGGGTATGTTATGTCTTCATTCTCATTGAATTCGAGGAAGTCTTTAATTTCTTTTTTTATTTCCCCTTTGACCCAGGGATGGTGCAGTTGAGCATTATTCAATTTCCATGAGTTTGTAGGTTTTCTGCAATTGTGTTGTTGTTGAATTCTAATTTTAAAGCATGGTGGTCTGATAAGATGTATGGAGTTATTCCAATTTTTTGTAGCTGCTGAGGTTTGATATGTTGCCAAGTATGTGGTCGATTTTTGAGAAGGTTCCATGTGGTGGTGAGAAGAAGGTATATTCTTTTTATCTGGATGAAATGTTCTATAGATATCTGTTAATCCCAGTTGGGTCATTACTTCTATTAGACCCTTTGCTTCTTTGTTGAGATTCTGTCTGGTATTCCTGTCTAGTGGTGAGAGTGGTGTGTTGAAATCTCCCACTATAACTGTGTGGGGCTTTAGATGAGATTTAAGTTGTAATAATGTTTCTTTAACGAATGTGGATGCCTTTGTATTTGGGGCATAGATGTTCAGGATAGACACTTCATCTTGGTGGGTTTCACCTGTGATGAGTATGCAATGACCTCCTTCATCTCTTTTGATTGATTTTATTTTTAAAGTCCAGTTTGTTAGATATTAGGATTGCTACCCCTGCTTGTTTCTTGGGTCCATCTGATTGAAAATTTTTTCCCAACCTTTAACTCTCAGGTAATGTCTGTCTTTGTGGGTGAGGTGTGTTTCTTTTATGCAGCAGAAGGAAGGGTTCTGTCTTCGAATCCATTCTGCTAGTCTGTGTCTTTTTATGGGTGAGTTAAGGCCATTAATATTGAGGGATATTAATGACCATTGATTGCTCATCCTTCTTCGATTTGCAATGGTTGGTGGTGGTGGAATTATGTGTGGAATTTCACCCCTTTGTTCTTTTGGCTGTTAGTAGAGAGGGATTCTCTAATGCCTATGTTTTTCTGGTTGTAGTTAGCTTCCTTGGGTTGGAGTTTTCCTTCCAAAATTTTCTGTAGGGCTGGGTTAGTGGACACATATTGCTTGAATCTAATTCAAGACTCGTAAACCCCACAGTGACAGATGTATCAGGCTTTTCTTATAGAATTCCTTTTTCCCTTCTCTCTTCTTATTTTGACACAGATTTTCTGTAGGCAGTACCGGCTGCCAAGGAATGGCGACCCTGCTACCCCCAAGTGAGTGTTGGGGCTACAGGTGAGCACCTATTCCTATTGGGTTTTGTGGTTTTGTTTTTAAATGATGCATGCAGCTGTGGATATCCTTAAAATTTTAATCTTTCTATTTCCATGTACCAATGAAGGGATTCCAGTAATTCTCCACCAAGTCTGGTTTATTTTGTGCTGGGGACAAATCCCAGGGTTTCCTGCATGCTGGGCAAGTGCTGTCCCAACTGACTCATTCCTGTATCTCAACCAAGCCTGGGATCCACTGTGTAGCTGAGGAAGACCTGGAGCGCTGGGTCATCCCTATGGAATTACAGATCTGCACCATTGACTCTGCATTTTCTCTTTTACCATTTCTAGATGACCTGACTTTCTACTGAGAGTCTTTTGAAGAACCGCAAACTCGAGCTCTAGCCTTTTCTTCTGAAGCTGGTGAGTTGTGACCTGGGTGGGAGGGAGGTAAAGGAAGCTGTCCCCATCCCATGCCATGTCAAGGACACTCAGGTCAGTGTGCAGCAGCCCAGGTCATCACCTGTGTAGCTAGTTATTTTCAAAGCCCTGTTCTGATTAGCAGTCCTCAGGCTAGTCTCATCCAACTTCCTACACAGCTCCGTGGGACAGAATGGAAGGCAGAAACCTCTCCAGTGCATGTCCACAGCAGCAGCTGATGATAGTAGGAAGATGAAGCCTCACATTGCTTGAAGGTTCAGTCCCCTCACCCCTGGCGTCTCACTCACTCCCATTTTCCCTTTCTAGGCATTTTGTGGATTTCTCTTAAGACTAGATGGCAGAGCCAAGATGAAGGTGTATGCTGATATCCCTGGATTCTGGAGGCTTAGATTGGGCACTAGCCATTGCCTCAAGTCCAGCCTGTGCTATATAAGGAGCTGTAGTCTAGCTTTGGTGGCATTGTGAGATCTCTCTCTAAAAACAGAATGTGAACAGGAGGACTTGAGATCAGTGTGTCCTATGTGCACAGTAGTTATTGTTCGTAGGTTTTTTGCCAGCACAAAATAATATCAGGTGGACTTTGCCTGGTATTAGGGGTAGAGACAAGAGCATCAGGCAGTCAAAGTCATCTTCCAAAGCACAGAGTTTGAGGCCAGTCTAGGAGGAATGACACCATTTTATTTGTATTTATTCATTTATTTATTTATTTATTTGGATTTATGAGATAGGGTTTCTCTGTATTGTTTTGGAGGCTGTGGATCTAGCCCAGCCTCGAACTCACAGAGATCTGGCTGCCTATGCCTCCGGAGTGCTGGGGTTAAATGCCTGCACCACCACCGCCTGGCTGACACTATTTTAAATAAACAATCCCTACTCCCAAATCTTAATCCCCATATCTGAGAAAACAATGACATGGCAACCCACCGTAACCTCATATACCTCATGAATCAGAATGCCTTTCCCATGTATAGATGAAAACAGAGCATCCAGATGTACCGTGAATATTTCGAGTGATTCACATCTGGAATTGGCTGAGCATTGAGTCATCTCTTGTGCAGTGTACTGAGGAGCTGTTCAGTAAGTGCTTCCTATTGATCATGTGGGAGGAGGGAAAAGGGAGGAATGGAGGGCATGGAGACTCAGTCCAGGGCCAATAAGAAAGGCAGAATGCAGCAATCTCTTGAAGCCCTGAGACCCTCTGATGTTTTGCTGCCCCGCCCTGTGGCCACTCTATACCTGTTCCCAGTTAGTGCACCTGAATTACTGCAGTCTCTGCTTCAACTCAGGACACAATTGTGGTGGTTATGTGGGTTTCAGACTGGGGTGGAGGGAAGCTTGCCATGTGAAACCCATCTAACATGCTTTTATACTCTGTCTTTCATGCTTTTTCTCATTTGTGATAACAAACAAAATACTTTTCAGAGCTGGGGTGTCCTGATGTCCCTGAACAAATTTCATAGACACACTGCTGCTCCTGGACATGCCCTCCACAATTGAGATGACTGGGTTGTGAGTCACGACTGTGAAATCCATACCTGGGTGAGATTCAGAAGCACAAGAGGGCTGGGACGGTGCCTGTCTGTCCATACAGTGCCTGCTTTCATTGTGAGATATGAGGTCATGACCCAGAGAACCAGGGAAAACCAGTTGGCTGGCTGAGGCTTGTTACCCCAGAATATGGAGATGGAGGGACGTGCATGTACCTTTTGTTTTGTCTTTGTTTTGTTGCAGTATGTTTCTGAGACAGGGTTTCTCTGTCCTTCCCTGTCTCTCTAGAGCAGACTGGCCTTTGTGTCACAGACAGTTGCCTGCTTCTGTCTCCCAAGTGCTGGGATCAGAGGCGTGCACCACCACAAACACAACCACACTTGACTGCAGGTGCTTCAACCTTGCTGGACTTAAGAAAGCCTTTGTCCAAAGCACAAGGTGTACATATCTGTGAGTTAACATTTGAGGGAATACATGTGCTACATACTTAAAAGTTAGAGCATACACATGGATATATACAAGGACACGGATGCACAAGCACACAATTGTAAATATATTACATGTGAATGTGTCTACACACACACACACACACACACACTCACACACACACACACACACACACACACACACACCTACATACGAAAGTAAGCATAGTGATAAAGAAAAACAACGTTAGTTGAAGGACCAGGTGGCGTTTGGAAAATCTGACCTTCATGCAGGAGCATCCTGGTGGGCAAGACCAGGAGAGGGAGACATGGTGATGCTGCTGAGATACTGGGGTGGTCCTCTGTGGGTGCTAGGTGATGACAGAGCCCAGGAAGCCACGCTTCTGGCATGCTTACTCTTGACAGGCAGATGGAGTAGGTGGGATGACAAGGAAGTTCCAGCTTCATTAGCACTCATGTCACCTAATGACTCTGCTCTCTGCAGCTTGGTTCTAGGAGGTTTCAGAAGCCAAGGGAGATGACCTTGCAGTAGGAGAAAAGAAGACCACCTCCATCAATTCTACTAGCACCCCCAAAATCATTGAGTTATGTTTCTTAAGTTGGAAATAAATTAAATTCTTTAATGAGGTTTTGTCTTTTTTTATTTTTATTTATTCTCTGTTTCCCTACCAATCCCAGTCCCCCTTCCTGTTCCTCCCTACATTTACCCATCCCAACTTGCATTTTCTCCTCAGAGAGGGTAAGGCATCCCATGGGGGGGGTCAATGAAGTCTGTCAGATCCCCAATTTGAGGCTGAACCAAGGCCCACACCCCTGTGTCTATGCTGAGCAAGGCCTTTCTCCATAGGGAATGGGCTGTAAAAGTCCAGTTCATGCAGGCACAGATCCTATTCCCACTGCCAGTGGCCCACACTCACTGCCCTTGACACACCAGTGTCAACTGCATTCAGGGGGCCGAGGTCAGTGCTATGCAGGGTTCCCAACTGTCTGTCTGGAGACAGTGAGCTCCTGCTAGCTCAGGTCTGCTGTGTCTGTGATTTTCCCCCATCCTGGTCTTGATCCCTTTGCTCATATTAGCATTCCTCCCTCTCTTTCACTGGTCTCAGTAGCTAAGGCCACTGGATAATTGTGGATCTCTAATTTCTTGATCATCCCATAATGGCTCCTCTATCATAATATTTCTTTCCTTGCCCTCCTGCCTTGTCTTTCCCCTAAGCAGACCCCCCCATTACCTTATGCTCTCCTCCTCAGTCCCCTTCCTTCCAACACTCTCAGCTTCCAAATACTCAGGAGATCTCCCTTTCCTTCCTAGGCAGATCCATGTCCTCTTTGCTACCTAGCTTCTCTGGGGTTGTGGACTGTAGACTGGTTGTTTTTTATGTATAATATCCACTTATGAGTGAATATACCATATTAGTTCTCACTCAAGCATTTTTTCTAGTTCTGTCCCTTTGCCTATAATATTCAAGATGCTTTTTTTGTTTTGTTTTTACCACTGAATATGTGGAGAGGTGAGCCTATAATACTATCCAGGGGCATGAACAGTGGTGGGGGGACAGGTGGAGAGATATATGGGAAAGAGAATGCAAAATTCCTCTCATTGGAAGCTGGCCACACTTCTCATCTTCCCAGATCGTAAGTGCGTTTTCCTGCTGATAAAAATATTTGTTACCCCATTGCATTGATTCCTCATCAAGTATGTTCCATTGTGTAAGTGTACCATGTTTTCTTTATCCATCTTAAGGGCATCTTGGTTGTTTAGTTGGTACTGCCTATTACAAACAATGCTACGAACACAGTTGACCAAATGCCCCTGTGGTGTAGTGTGCATTTTATGGGTATATGACCAAAAGTGGTATTACTGGGATACGAGGATGGTACATGCAATATGGAAATTACGGTATTTATTTACCAGAGAAAGAACTTACACACAAGGTGGAAGATCAGGAGCGTGGCAGTCTTCCAAGTAATATTTGTTTTTACAAATGTCGGTGTCCTTATATTTGAGGCATAGATATTCAGAATTGAGAATTCATCTTGATGGATTTTTCCTGTAATAATGAATATGAAATATCCCTTATCTCTATTGATTAATTTAATTTGATGTCTAATTTGTCAGATATTATGATACATACACCAGCTTGTATCGTAGGCCCATTTGATTGGAAAATCTTTTCCCAATCCTTACTCTCAGCTAATGTTTGTCTTTGAAATGCAGGTGCATTTCTTGTATGCAGCAGAAGGATGGATTCTGTTTCCATATGGATTCTGTTGATCTGTGTCTTTTTATAGGCAGTTTGAGACCTCTGATATTACAGGATATTAATGACCACTTATTGCTACTTTGCATTACTTTTGTTTTAGTGTTGTTGGTAGTATTATGTACAGGTTCCCTTAGTAATTAGCTGTTGGGGGTTATGTACTGCCTGTATTTTTGTGGATGTTGCTAACTTCCTGTGTTTGGAGTTTTCCTTCTAGTCCTTCCAGTAGGGCAGAATTTGTGGATAGGTACTTTTTAAAATCAGACTTTGTCAAGGAGTATCTTGTTTTCTCCATCGATGGTGATTGAATTCTTTGCTAGTTATAGTCTTCTATTTGGCATCCGTGGTCCCATAAGTGTCTGCATAACTCCTGTGTAAGACCTTCTGGCTTTGCTTGTTTCCAGTGAGAAGTGGGATATATTTCTTGCCCTTTTTCTTTGAAGCTCTTAATATTTCCTTTATTCCATATGCTTAGTGTTTTCATTATATGTGGCAAGAGAACTTTTTTTTGGTCCAATCTATTTGGTTTTCTGTAAACTTCTTGTATTTTCATAGGCAAATCCTTTATATTTAGAAAGTTATCTTCTATGATTTTGTTGAATGTATTTTCTATTCCTTTGATTTCCTGGACTGCTTCTCCTTCTTGTATCCCTAGTAACTCTTAATTCCAGTCTTTTCATTGTGTCCCCAGTATCTTGGATATTTTGTGATAAGAATTGTTGGATTAACATTTTCTTTGACCATTGGATACTTTTCCTGGATGGTATCTACAACGCCTGAGATTCCCTCTTCCATCTCTTGTATTCTGTTGTGTATATTCGCATTTGTCATTCCTGATCATTTACCCACATTTTCCCTTTCCAGAATTCCCTGGGCTTGTGTTTTCTTTATTGTCTCTGTTTCAGTTTTCAAGTCTTCAACCATTTCATTCACTTGTTTGATGGTTTTTTGTTGGTTTACTTTAAGGAATCTTGTTGATTTCTTCCAGCTTTTTGTTTGTGTTTTCTTCTACTTCTTTAAGGGATTTTCATCATTTCTTCTATAAGGGCCTCCGTCATCTTCATCAAATTTTTTTAGGGTCATTGTCTTCTGCTTCATCTGTATTGGGATATTCCTGTCTTGCTGTTGTAGAACAACGAGTTTCTGTTGGTGTCCTATTCTTTATGTTGTAGTGTGTATTCTTACACTTGTGCCTACCCATGTGTTCCTCCATCAGTACAGGGGGGGGTTGAGCTACAGAGGGGTCACTGTTCTTCCAATTGGTGCAGTTGGGAGCTGTGGCTCCAGTGATCACTCCTCTTGATGCAGACAAGGAAGACTTGTCCTGATCTCTCCTCCAGGTGCAGGTAGGTCCAATGCTCAGAGGATGATCCTTCAGGTACAGGCAGGGCCACAGTCTCCAGTGGACATTCCATCACGTGCAGATGGGGTCACTGGTCCTGTGTCATGTGTTAGGTGCAGGGATGGCTAAGATCCTTATTGTCCTTGATACACAGGGGTATGTCATGCAGAGAATGGCTCTGGATTTTGGCTGGACACAGGTGCACTTTCCCAGAGGAAGTTCTTAGACAGCTTCTGGAAGCCACTGATGGGTACTTGTCCAAATCACTTCCCAGTGTTTGCTGCTTTTTGTTGTTTTGAGACAAATTCTTTTCTATACCTCTGCTTTGGCAGGCCTGGTGCTATGTAGCTCATGCTAACCTTACATTTGAAGCAGTCTGGCTTCCTGAGTTCTTGGTATTATGGCTGTACCTCATCACTCCTTGTGGGTCTGTTTTTTTTGTTTGAAGATTTTTTTAATGGGGTCATATATTTTAGGTTTCTATTGAACATGCTATGTATCAGAGCCTATGTTGAACTCCTGATTATCGTTATCACCCCTTCAATTCTGATATCATACACATGTGGATCAAATTCAGTACTCAAAGCATACTAAGGAAGCCCTATCCAAACTGTGCTACATCAGTGACCTAAAAGGTGTCCTTTTGATGATCTTACCATTTTAAAAATACATGTATGTGTGCATCTAAAGACACAAATCTCTGGGTTCTGTGTAACACTGGAGGCCATAGGATCAGACAGGATCTCTTGAAACTTGAGTGAACTATCATGTGAATGCTGGGAATTCTAATTCTTTTCCCCACCTCTTGGTCTTTTAATAATGTACCTTGTTGTGTGCATCACCTTTTGAAAGAAAATGTGTATTTGGAATACAGTTATCAAGTAAAAGGACCACCATTGCCATCAGAACACACAGCAATCTCACAAATCATACTCAGAGCAGCGTTTGGTGTCTGTAGACATTCTAGAGCAGCATGTCCTGTGTACACGTCTGTGGGATATTGTCTTTATTGTTGAGGACAGACTCGAATATCTCATAAGTCAAGCCCTGGACTGCACTGTTAGGATAGAACACACTAACTGAATAGCAAGCAAGAAAGCTCTCTTTTCTTGAGTCTGGCAGTGATATGTGTAGGTGATTGAATTCTTACCTGAATTCCACTAAATGACAGTGACCTGGATTGCAGACCAAGTAAACTCTCTCTTTCCTTGCTTTTTCTCATATTTTACCATGACTATGGTGGTGAAATCAGGACACCTTTCTCGTCTTTGTTAGATGCTAAGCTAATCAATGATTGATCTGTGGTCACCAGAACCACCTGAGCCACTGGCTCTACAGTTTGCTCTGTCATTGATGAGGGATAAGGGATGCAAAGGAGTGAGCAAGGGGAAAGTTTATTACGGGAGAGTGAGACATGCTCCCGACTGTGCAGGTAGCCAAGGTGATGGTAATGCCCAGCTACATTGTTCTGAGCTGGAAGTGAAGTTGGTCATTTCGTACTGAGATTGGTCATTTTCTAGGCATAAGTGTGTGTTGAGCCAATGATTATATCCCTTGGGCTTGTCCTGGGATGGTCAGGCAGCATTTCTCACATAGACAAGGGATGCTCACTGGCTGTGGTGGTCATCCCTGTTCTTTTTTGTTTGCTTGTTTTGCTGGACATTAATAAGACCATGTTCTCTTGGTCATGTGATCAAGTTGTTACCACAGACCCTTATCATTATTACTCATCAGATGTCTCCTAAGTCAATACTTATTTCTATTGATTATTTCTTAGAAATATTCCCCATGATTGGGACAAATTCATCAACAATTTCCAAAAATGAGGTTTAATTGGTCATATTAATGTTAGAGAGAAACCAGTGAGAGGCATTTTAAGTTCAATACCATTCTCCAGGTGTCTGCCTACATCTGTGAGTGACTCTGGACATAGAGGCACATACCTTACTCCCAGGATTCAGGAGTCAGTGTTAGTGTTGTGTATTCCAAGAGTTAAGGAGGCATAGTACAGGAAGATGAG